TGTGTGGTGATAAAAGATGAAGGACATTTCAACGGGAAGCTGATCGAAATCTCTCCGCTGTCAAACACTGAAGTTACCATCTAATATATTAGAATGCAAGAAAGTTTTAAAACGAGAAGAGACCCTCCGGTCCATCTAGTTCGTTTGGAAGTTAATTAAGTGAACTCATCCAGGTATTAGCTACAGCTTTTGGGCTGTACTACTCTTTTTCTGTAAAAAAGAAATGCACGTTGCACAGGAGAAGGGGAGACGACAAGTTACGTCTTTTTGCACAGGTTACAGTCTTTCAACTAACGGCCTGGTTTCGCTTGACAGGACTCCTGAGTGGCTGTGGGCGCGCCTCCCCCAACAGGGAGTGGCGGTGACGCGCAGCACCGCGGCTCCGCGCATAGATCAGGCAAGCGTCGCAAACAAGGAAGTGAAACAGTACAGGAAAAACTTTGCACGGAGACCTCAGTGTTTTGTTGTTATCGCGGAAAAAAAAGGCCCGAAACCTAGCTCCGCGTCTTTCTCTCCCTCTGATTCGAGTAACCCGCACAGGAATTCAGGACGATGAACAGTAAAGGTAAGCCGTCTTAGGCACCCGGTCGTTTTCGATCCAGGCTCGGTCGCCTCGGAGACGACTTGGGTTAAAGGGTTTTGTTTTTGTTGTTGTTTTTAACTGTTATTTGAACAATTCACGTCCCTGGTCGTGCATCTCGTAAGGACGTTCTTGAACAATCGGCGGACACGGTACCGCGGGGGTCGGCTGACGGTCCAAGAACGTGGATTCGGGTTCTGGGCCGCCGAACCGAGTAAAAGCACAACAAGGCCCGTCTGGTGTCAGTGTGCAAACCTGGGCAGAGCAGCTGCGTAGCTTATGCTGCAGGATCACGGCGGCGGAGGTAAAAGCGTCAACAGCAAGCGCTGTGGGGCTGTCCTTGTGTAACCTCGATGGTATAATAATCATTTGCTGCAAATCCGGAACCTTCTGGAGACAAAAAATGCCGTTCGCGTCTTATGCGTTACGGATTGGCGACATTGTTTTATGCGCCAGGAGAGGGGATGTCAGGCTGTGTACGTGTTTCGCCGAGCTTCGTTATTTACTCTAAAATGGACACTGCCTTGTCTACAGAGCACCACCGAAAGGAGTGATAAAAGAATGCGAAATTCCGCGATCCGCCGATCGCCCTAAATCTATTTCAGCCCGTTTAAATTAACGTACCTTATAATGTCGAGGCTTGTATAACACTATCGTATTCATTCCCACGGGACTTGTATCTTAGACATTTTACTGAATATCGTCTTGCTGGGGTTGGGGTAGAGGCCTGGTTTCTTGAATATCCTTGAATATTAACCTTGCAACTCGCTGCTGGCATCTTTTTAACAATGAACCGGGGAAACTCGGTATTAAATGACGAAGTGAATTCGTATTTAGGATCTTAAAACAAACACCCCGGGAGACAGATTCAGTTTTAATTTGGTTTTGTCGATTAAGATGAAGAAAGTCATTTCTCGTGTATAATGTATTTTTTAAAAATAAAAAGGCGCACCTCCACCGGTGCAGAATTCATCCTAGAGAATAGAGAATATCCTAGAGAATATACGAGTTTTCTTTAAAAAAAAAAAACGTAGGTTTCGCATTGTGGTTCAGAAAGGGTTTTCATTTCATTTATGCTCATAAAAAAAGAAAGAAAGGCTGGGGGAATTATGGTGAGGGATAAGAACTACATCGTTAGCCAGTGGTGATCCGGTCCCGAGTCTGAGTAAACGTCATACAAGCTGTGTAACATCTCAGACCAGATCAGCTGCCAAAGCTACAGTGTGTATTAACGTGGCATTGTTGTTAACAGCAGCTGGTAAGACGGTTTCAAAGCCCTACAAAATGGAATGCAGGGACTCTGCAAGTAAAAAAGGGCGAGTAGTTGGCTTGGAAATACCTGCACCCCCAACCCCCACCCCTTTTTTCTGATGGGATGGTCTTTGGTTGAGCTTGGGAAGGAGGTGATGATGCGTGAGATGGAACTGACCCACTGGTTCTGGTTGGGATTGGGATCTTTGAGTCGTTCGGGTCAGGAATGGTGATGGTTGGGTCTCCTGCTCCCTCAGACCGGCCACACACTATGCAGCCCAGTGGTCAGGATCCTGGACTCGTAACTGGGAGGTTGTGGGTTCGAATCCCAGGGGAGACACTGCTGTTTTAATAATAATAATTAATAATAATTGCTTACACTTATATGGCGCTTTTCTGGACACTCCACTCAAAGCGCTTTACAGGTAATGGGGACTCCTCTCTACCACCACCAATGTGTAGCATACACCTGGATGATGTGACGGCAGCCATAGTGCGCCAGAACGCTCCCCACACATCAGCTATCAGTGGGGAGGAGAGCAGAGTAATGAAGCCAGTTCATAGATGGGGATTATTAGGAGGCCATGATTGGTAAGGGCCGATGGGAAATGTGGCCAGGACGCCAGGGTTACACCCCTTTACCCTTGAGAAAGGTCCTTCACCTGCATTGGTCCAGTTTAATCACCCAGCTGTACAAATGGGCGCAAATGTGAATCACCGCATGAATTGGTAAATAATTAGTTCGAATGCAAACCATCTAGACCGGCAGTGTTCTGAGATCAGACCTCAGAGTGTTTCGCTGTCCCTGGAGCTGTGCAGGCTGCTTACCGGGTGAGAATACTGGCCCAGAGCACCAGTGACATCTCTTTTGTGTAGAGCTAAAACTCTCTACAGACTTCCTGAGATTGCAGTGCTGCTTCTCCCTGGTGGGTCCACTATTGGTAAAAGATTCCAAGGTCATGAACCTTTTGAAAACCTGAGTATCTGTAATATTTTGAAATGCATCAAAATATTTATTGCTGTGCAATAAGTTGAAATTGAAAATCGTCCCCTTTATACGTTAACTATGAAAGCACTGCCCTTTCCTGCTGATATCTACTGCATGTGCTAAGATGATGTCCTTATCCAGGGTGACTTACTAGTCCGATTTATAGACTTAGATTGCTGCTATCCAGCCTAATTTTAAAATCTATACACCCCATATTTGCATAGAACTTAATTTTCTGACCACGCAGAGACAACCACATTGTGTCAGCCGATGTGTTGTAGTTCTGTCTTCAGAAAGACAATGCACATGTATATTTTAGAGTGCTTTCCAAAGATACCGTCCAGGGCTGAATTGTCTTTCCTGCAATCAAACCAGAGATTTTTATGATTTATTTGGCTACCGATAGGTCTTTAATTTGCGTGCTCACAGCTTGACTAAAACTTCTGCTTTGTAGTGTAAGAGAATCCAAACAAAAAGAATCCGCAGTAGTTCAGCGATAAATCTGATCTCAACTGGCACAGAAATTCAAAAGGTGTCCTTTCAGTTAATTGAGGTTGGGTTTAGGTTTTGGATGATTCATTGTTGTAGAGAAGATTTCTCCTCAAACATCCAATAGAACTTGTTAAGCCCAAATCAGGTTAGAGCTACCTAGAAATAATACCTTTCTTAGACATTTCAGCTGTCATGAAATACATGACAGAAGTCCATTTTGATTTCATTTGACCACATAGCCCTTATTAAAAGCAGATATAGGATCTCTGAACTGCTTGCAGGTATTGTGTCCCTAGAAATATAGGGTTAAAATGCCATCATCGTTTCTGACCTTTCCATGTCTAGAATTTGTGTGGTGACTCAAGTTTGGTAAGATACACAAAAAAGTTGATTTTCCGTCTTACTAAAAATGACAGAATAGCAGGTTTGAACTGTAAGCGTACTGAAGTGTTATTGGACACTCCACTTGAAATCTGGGAAAACGAAACTAAGACTTCCCCCTCCTGTGAGCTGCTTCATGCGGAGCAGGTTTACGGCCTGTGAGTCACGCTCACATCTGGCTGACGTACCTCGGTGACCTACCGCGAAAGGAATCCTCTGGCTGCCGTTCAGCTTTACAAACTAAGGCGCTGGTGCTCCCCAGCGATGGTTACTTTTCCCTCGTTTGACTTTGTCAGACCACGGGATGGAATTATTTCCTAAATCTAGGCCAGATTGCAGGTTTGGATGTCTGCAGGTTCTGGGTAATGACAACATCTGCGGCTCTCAAGAGTCCGCATGATACTGACAGACCTGGAGCTTTGGTGCATGTGGAGCCGAGCCGAGAACCCCTGCTGCCACTGATCCCAGATATTTCCTTAAAATCACGTGGTGTCCCCCCTGGCGGGTTTCTTGTTCCTGGTACATAGGAAACCATTCTGAAACCTGCCGTAAAAGAAAGCACATTGCGTATTGAGTCTGTCTGAAACTACGTTCCTCACTGCCACAGTGCTGCAGTGTAATTAATAATAATTGCTTACGCTTATATAGCGCTTTTCTGGACACTCCACTCAAAGCGCTTCACAGGTAATGGGGACTCCCCTCCACCACCACCAGTGTGTAGCCTCACCTGGATGATGTGACGGCAGCCATAGTGCGCCAGAACGCTCCCCACACACCAGCTCTCAGTGGGGAGGAGAACAGAGTGATGAAGCCAGTTCAGAGATGGGGATTATTAGGAGGCCATGAAAGGTAAAGGCCACTGGAAAATTTGGCCACGATGCCTGGATTACACCCCTACTCTTTTCAAGAAACACCCTGGGATTTTTAATGATCTCTGAGAGTTAGGACCTCGGTTTTACGTCTCATCCGAAGGACAGCGCTTTTTTTTTTTATTTACAGTATAGTGTCCCTGTCACTATACTGGAGTTAGGACCCACACAGACTGCAGGGTGAGCGCCCACTACTGGCACCACTAACACCTCTTCCAACCTGAGTTTTTCCCAGGAGGTCTCCCATCCAGGTACTGGCCAGGCTCACACCTGCTGAGCTCCAGTGCACCCAGTTGTGAGTTGCAGGGTGAGAGAGCTGCTAGTGTGCACATTTTCACCTTAATTAATTCTTCGCTTAACTCATCTGAATGATTTCTGTTTCCAGGTATGTAAACATTGAGCTCTTTAAAGGTTCTGAGGCAGTTTTAGCTCAGGGTGACGTTCGAGCACAGGCCTACAACACAAAATGGTAGACGGCGCTCCTGTCCTCCAAGGTCCGTGAGGGCATTGAACAAAAGCCACTTCCCAGACATCACACAGAAGCGCCCTGCGCGGTGTGCGTTTGCAGTTGGCACCCAAAGAGGCCCCGAGACAGATGTGATGTGAGCAGGCTGGTTGCGGACAGTGGGGGACCTGAGCCTGAATTCAGTCAAACCCATCGCGGCCCCCTGGCAGAGCCAGGGGTGACTGGCAGGCTTCCGCGGTGGCCGTAGAAGGAAAACTCGATGCCGTCAAGGTCCAGCCTCGCGCTCCGGGAGTCGGGATGGTGACTCTCTCCGGGCCTGGAGACGGAGAGCCAGCGGACCCGGTGTGATGGCCCGATCTGCCCTTTGTGTTTCAGGGTCGTACCCACAGCAGCAGGCCTACCCCCCTCAGCAGACGTCTGCTGCCATCTACCCGCCTGGCATGCAGGTGCCCTCCCAGGCACCCCCTTATTCCGACGCCCCCCCTGCCTACTCGGAGGTAAGAACCGCTGCTGTTCGGTGCCTTGCCCTTCCAGTCTGTTGTCCTTCCCGGGGAGCCCCACTCCTGAACAAATTCACTTCTTATTGGCGTGTCTGTAGGTTTTTAGTCCAGCCGGCCTCTCGGTGACCTGACTCAGCTCATTATGGGCTTAATCGAACCAGTTTAACGGCTTCTCCCAGCTCATCAGGTCCTTCTGCTTTAAAGACGCCTGGAAAACCTGCGGACACAGCGCCTCCTCCAGGTCTCCCCAAGGCAGCAGCTCCAGAGGGGACTTGATTATACCTTACGTTAGTAACCACTCTCAGATTAGGCTTACTGTAGGCCTCAAACCCTGGGACTGCAGAGCCTCTGTCCAATTGACTTGAGAAAAACTGTTCCTCGAGAGCTGGAGTTAAGTATTATGCTATTAAGATTTAGAAACTCACTTAAACGATCACCATCCCATTAATGTCTTTAGAAACTAGCAGTTTGTCACCAACAATATCTGCAGGACTGGGACTGCAGTGGGTCATGGTTTGGCGACGCCTGCTTTAATTCAACTCGGGAAGAGGGATACTTTTGGTACAACTGCACAGGTCCCAATCTGCTGCCGATTTAAGGAGATTTGCAAAAACCTTGCCCCGGGCACTACGCCCAGGGAAAACTGGGTTGCCTGATTAGGAAATGGGTGCAGGACGCTGAAGCTTCAGCGCCTGAATGAGTGTTGGCTTTGAGAGCCGCTGTCTGTGCCTGACCCTCTCTCTCTCTCTCTCCCCTGAAAGATCTATCAGCCTAGGTACATGCACCCTCCCACGGCCACCGGCCCTCTGCCTCAGATGTCCTCTGCCTATCCCGGGACCCAGATGTACATGCCCCTGGCGCAGTCCATGCCCGTGGGCGCGGTGGGCCACAACGTGCCCATGGCGTATTACCCGATGGGGCACCTGTACCCGCCTGGCTCGACTGTCCTGGTGGAAGGGGGCTATGATGCTGGCGCCCGCTTCGGAGCTGGCAGCACCCAGAGCATCCCGGTGAGCGAGACCCAACTCTCCTCCTCTCCTCCGCCGCCGAGTCCTGGGCAGAGCTCAGGAGGGCCAACAAGCAGCGCTGGTGCCAAGCAGGGGAGGGCAACTCTTGTCCTCTGGTGCCACATTCCATTCTGCGCTTTCACCTCCAGTTTTGGCCTTAATGACCTAATCAGATACATTAAGTGGATGAGAAGCTTGGCCTTCCAGGTTCTGATCAGGTGCTAATTGGAAGGTGCTTTTAAACCAGTGGTTCCCAGTCCTGGTCCTGGTGCCTCACACACCTCCTGGTTCTCATTCCACTCAAATTTCTCAGTTCAGCTTGCATGAGATCACTGAAGCCGTACTGGATCTGAGAAGTGGCTTCGTTGGAATATTTGCCTTTTGTTTCCAGGCACATGTTCGGAATTTTATTTCACTTTACAAACACAAAAGTTAAAGCGCTGACATAATTAAGAACTGAGAGCAAACAGTTCAAAAGAATCTTCTTATTAAAGGGGAACTGCAATGCTATTTTCATATTTCGGCGTTAGAAGCGAAGCGGCCTTATTACGTTGTAAAGAAGCAGACTTGTGAATACATCTCTTTTAATCCAATAGAAATATTGCTCTCGATTTCGAGACGGTTTTGCACAGAATTACTACTTGTTAAGTCTGCATGCAGATCATGTTGGAACATTCCTGTGGTGAAACGTTGCTGCGCGACCTGTATTTATTCACTTGTACATCACAGCCTATTAGTCATTATGGTGACTAGTGAGCAGGAAGGGTCGCTTCACGTCAGAGTTTGTGGGAACTTATAATAATAATAATAATAATAGCTTACACTTATATAGCGCTTTTCTGGACACTCCACTCAAAGCGCTTTACAGGTAATGGGGACTCCCCTCCACCACCACCAATGTTCAGCATCCACCTGGATGATGCGACGGGAGCCATAGTGCGCCAGAACGCTCCCCACACATCAGATATCAGTGGGGAGGAGAGCAGAGTAATGATGCCAATTCATAGATGGGGATTATTAGGAGGCCATGATTGGTAAGGGCCAATGAGAAATGTGGCCAGGACGCCAGGGTTACACCCCTACGCTTTTCGAGAAGCGCCATGGGATTTTTTAATGACCACAGAGAGTCAGGACCTCGGTTTTATGTCTCATCTGAAGGACGGCGCCTGTTTAGAGTATAGTGTCCCCATCACTATCCTGGGGCATTAGGACCCACATGGACCGCAGGGTGAGCACCCCCTGCTGGCCCCATTAACACGTCTTCCAGCAGCAAGTGACCAGTAGTGACCAGGCTCACAGCTGCTTAGTTTCAGTGGGCTGCCAGTTGTGAGTTGCAGGGTGATATGGCTGCTGGCTTGAATGCGAGTTTGCAACAACATGGCAACACAGTGATTTCAGAAAGTTCACGATTTAGCGCTTAATTGGAAATTCGTCCCAACCGGTCTGAGAAATTGGGACTGCAGTTCCCCTTGGAGTCAGTGAAGGGTCTGATTGTGTGACTGAGGGCTGGGCTGGAAGAAGAACCAGCAGGTGTTGAGTCACCAGGACCAGGATTGGGGTTAGAAAGCAACGCTGCTGTGCGCCAGTGGCTCTTAATCATCTGAACAGAAATGCCTGAAGTCCAGGGCATTAAGGAGCTGGAATCAGACTACTCGAAAGGCGAGCCATGTCTTGGAGAGAAGGCCCTGTTCTGATGGTACAAGGTTGAAGGTCTCTTGACAAGAGCAGGCCATGGAGCCCATCAGATCAGGCCTTGCAGGAGGGATTAACTCACAGCGCTGGCTGACAATCTGCAATATGGGCAATGGGCTATCTGGAATGGTTTGGCTCATTTTAACCCTTGGAATAATTGTGTGACATAAAGATGTGTTTTCTAGTAATAGGAGGATGTTCTCAGCCCATTGTTATTTATGGCCATAGGTTTCTGTAACCCTGAAATGCATAGTGGGGCCAGTTTTATTTATTCCTGTGGAAGTTTGAAAAAAGAAGTCAGTCAAGTCTCTGGTTTTTACTGGGAGGTTTAAATGCTGAAGCTTTCTGAACTGGGAGGTTGCCCTGTGTGTATGGATTGGCTGAAAGGTGACAAAGGAACTGAAACACTAACAATCCCATCCCACCCCCACCCCCCCCAACCCCTGTCTGCCTTCTGTCTTTCTGCAGCCTCCTCCCCCTGGGCATCTCCCCAGCGCTGCCCAGCTGGCCGCCATGCAGGGCACCAACGTGGTGATGACGCAACGCAAGGGCAACTACTTCATGGGCGGCTCCAGCGGGGGCTACACCATCTGGTAAACGGGACCATGCAGCTGGGCAGCTTGCCACGCCCTCAATACTGACATCACCTAACGGAATGTAATATTTAGTGCCAACGAGGTGCAGTACGCCACCACCACCAGCAGGGACCGCCACCTCCCCTCCTGCCCACATGCAGATCCAAGGCAGGACCATGTGCCCATTTCTACAAAAGGGACAGTACACCTTTATTTGGGAAGCACGTTTAAAAAAAAAAAAATTGTCATGCATTTTTGTTCTCATTTTTAAGGCATAGTAATAGCATGTTATTTATTTTTCCAGACAGTAGCATCCCAATACTCCCAATGTGTGAGTTTAGAAAATGTCCCTTTCCTGGGACACATTGAGTCCAGAGCTGCTTGGGGCCAATAAAACATCCGGGCTGTCTTCTGTGACAGTCTTTTGAACTCGCGCCGTTAAATTGCTGTTTTTTTTAGTTTTTTTTAAAGAGTTCAGGCAGAGAAGTCTTTTCACAAGATCCCACTTTTCTGTACTAGTTCCTTGGGCAGAGGCATTTTTCTGATCCCTTGCAAAAGACAACAAAGGGGTTGCAAGGCCTCGGATGAAAATAAAATGGGCTACGGGGCTTGAGCAGGCTGACACAGCGGGGCAGCTCAAACCAAACTGGGAGTCGGACACAATCTGAGCCCGCAGACCTCTGCCACACCCCTTAGTTTTCAATTCTGCATCCAAACACAGGTGTACTTTCCCTTGGGCGACGCAGCCTTGATTCAATTCCTTAGAAGGTCTTCCGTCAAATCACGCTGGGAATCAAGTAAAATCCCCACCCCACCCCACCCCCACCCCCAAACAAGAGATGAACAAAACCCCACTCTTAAAAGGTTTGATAGTGGTTTCAGTGGCGTGAAACAGACTTCAGGAAGGGCATCCCGTAGTCAAGTCACGAAAGAGTGAGCCGTCACCGAGTGGAGCACTGCCCTGCCTTTCTTCTGTGGGAGAATGACTTCTGCAAATGTATCCCAGCGGCGTTTAATAAAACCAATACATCATAAGGACAGGGTGGTGGTTTACTGTACCTTCCGGGGCAACTTATAGAGGACTCTTTATCAGGTGCCAAAAGTCTTGTGCACCTTTAATTAAAAAATACAAAATGAAACTTTAATTATCCAGAAACATAATTGAGTACAGGTGGGAATTCTAACGCCGAAAGGAGGGTGGGTGGCGTCTTTGATTTTTCGTTTTTTTTTTAACCGAGTCGGATACCCAAATGTTTTCAGACAGCGGGGATACGACCTCCTCGGAAGCGCGCGGTTCTCTGTCTCGCTCCGAAACGGGAGTACCCAGCTCCACGCCCCCGGACAACCACAGGGAAACGTGTCTTAGAGGGGCTGCCGTGCTGCCCACCACAACGATCGGGGGTCCCGTGAGGGAGCGAGGGAAGGACAGGGCAGAGGGGTGGCAGGTCGGATTCAGAAGAGGCAAGCCAGCAGTCTTTGGTCATTTGACTGAGAGAGACACACACGTTGAGTGTAAATGCATGATTTCTGTCGCATGCTTTTTTTTGCACAGTGAACAAAATATTGATGGGTTTACTGTTGTGTGAAATGCACTATTCCTATTAAGCCAGAAGTAACTTAATGCATTTAGTGTGCTGTTGACCTGTTTCAATAGCCTTTTTCTGCACATAGATGCCTAAGATCTTTTCTACCTGTATATTGTACTGTAAGCACTGATTTTTATACATGCAGCTTAGTACTTGCACTGCTTTCACCTCACCTCAAGTTAATGTCGAGGAGGCTGGTTGAAGACACTTGACAGGGGTCGTCATTTTAGGTCCTTAAGGGTGGGATATGGACCGCGTAGGCCGTTTCCCAGCATGCATTTTCAAAATGATGTCAAGGAGCCGACATGACGGTCGTGTGAAGAATCCATTCGTTTAGAAAGCTCGCTGGGGCTGGGTACACTGAACACTGGGTATCCGACACACACACACTGCGTGTTTTGGAGGCCTTAACTCCCTGCAAGAGCCAGCTGCCCCTGCCTCCACTATACACTAAATAAGACGGATGGTTTGCCCCCCAAAAAATGAGTGGGAATCAGGCCCTGGGTCACTGTGGTCCATAGTTCCTTTGTAATAAGGAAATGCATTGTGAGCATACCACTCGGAGACAATGCAGATGATTCAGGATGCCAGCAGTTTCTCACTGATGAGTGGTATTTCTCAAGCAGGTGACAACACCCATCCTGGGCGGGCATCCGCTCCAACAGCTGGTTGGTTTTTTTGGTTGAGGTGAATGGGCTCAGCTGCGTTACTGACAGCTTTCCAGGCTTCTGGGTTGTTCCTCGATTTGCCTTTCATCTGTGCTGCCCGCTGTTGGAGCGTCTCCGAGTGCTTTGCTACGGAGTTGCAGATGTCAAGTCAGGAACGGTTTAGGGTCACGTAAAGTCTTCAATCAAAGCCATCCTGCTAGCAAATCTTTAGCCTATTGAAGGAGCTGAGAGCTGAGCCTGGGGTGACAGGGTCACAGGGGTTATAGGAGTGTAGGAAACCCCATCCCATGTCTTCGCAAGGGGGAGCGGGGTCTCAGGCTTCCGAAACAACGCAAATACTGGGATTTAACAAACAATTTGGGTGTCTCTGCACTCTCCGGTCTTAAAATTAAGTTAAAATGATTTCTTTTCCCATGGGATTCTAGCAGAAACTCCCTTGGAGAACACAGGGGAAAGCAGGCTTCCCGTTGAATCCCAGCTCCCCTGAAATCTCCCAACGAACAGACGCCACCCTGCCCTCTTTCCGGCTCAGACAAGATGAAGTCTTGTGTATAGGATTTATGGACAACAATAGTTCAGGGACTCTTAAATATTTTTTTTATACATATTAAAAATGATTTGATGGATCTGGAATATATTTTATCTGTTAAGGTTATTCAGAAGGAGATGAGCGTCACTGTATTGTTCGCTGTGTGTAGAGACTGTTAAGAGGGGGAAAGAGCCTCTCTTTGCATCGGAGTGGGGGTGCACTTAACTTTTTTTATACTAAACTAAGGTTAAAATTTAGAATAAAAGACTATTTTGGAACTTTGAACCTTCCTTTCTTGTCTTCCTTTTTTTAATCCTGCAGTGAACAGTGTAACAATGTAATGCTGTTGTAGGGTTTCCAAGTTTGGGAATGAAACGCACAAGTTAGATCAGCCAGAACCTGGCTCAGCCCCACTAAGGGATGGAGCTGTGCTTTAGAAATTGAGGGCAGCTGTTTTTCCCAGATTTGCTCAATACAGACTAATATCACAGCATCATTAGATCACTTTATTAGCCATATAGAATTTCTTGCATTAGGAATTCTTCTTTTCGCATACCCCAGCTTGCTCTTCAGGAGACACAGTTGGGGTCAGAGCGCAGGGTCAGCCATTGTACGGCGCCCTGGAGCAGCTGGGCCTTACTCAGGGGCCCAACAGAGTAGGATTCCTCTGCCGGCTGCGGGATTTGAACCGGCAACCTTCCAGCCACAGCCATAGATCCTAAACCACAGTGCCACCGCTCCGCTCCACCCTCATCATGGTACCATGTTCATGATAGATTTAAAGGTTAAGAATACTGACAGGTTAGGAGTTGCTGGAATTAACAACTACTCAGCACTGTGCTAAACAGGCTGTACTTATACCCAATGAATTACAACTGAATGTGGCACAGTGACGGAGTGGGGAGCATTGCTGCCTCGCAGCAGAGGTGCCCTGGGTTCAATTCAGGACCTGGGATGCTGACTGTGTGGAGTTTGCATGTTCTCCCTGCATTTGTGTGGCTTTCCTCTGGGTGTCCCGCTTTTCTCCCACAGTCCAAAGACACCCTGGTAGGTTCATTGGCTTCTAGGAAAACTGGCCCTGGTTCTGTGCATGCTCCATGGTAACTAGTGTCCCGTACATCCTGCCTTGTGCTCGTTACATTCCGGGATAATCTCTGGCGACCCTGAACTGGATTAAGTAGTTAGAAGATGGATGGATGGACGGAGGTAAAGAGCCAGCCTAGGGGATCCCAGTCCTGGTTCCAGGTTCCACTCCAGCTGAGCTCTTGCCTTCAAATTGAATAAACAGGTTGCAGGTTTAGAACCTTTAACAAGTTTTTCCCCTAGTCAGAGGTTTGAAATGTTAACAGTTTCTTAAGTAACTTGTATAGGAACTGAAAATGAGTCAATAAAGCTTATTAGGTTGGTTAAGGGTACAACTATGAGGGCTCAGGTGGAGCAACCCAGGAACACTCCACCTCCAGATCAGTGCTTCCCAACCCTGGTCCCGGAGAAACAGATCGTCTCCAGGATTTGGATTCATCTGGATTTTGCTGCCGATATGCTGTAATGTGTGATGTTTTGCATTCTTTGAAATTTGGATTTGGAATTGGCCTGTACCGACTCCTGGGTTTCCACTGCCCGCAATCCTGGCTGGTGTATGCAATATGACTGACTGGACTCTACAATAGTAGGAAACACTGTCACCGTGTCTGGAGCAATACCACTCTCACAGCAGGTCTATCTGTTGCAGCGCCACTCCCGCAGTAGGCATGTCTGATGCAGCACCACTTCCACAGTAGGCGTGTCTGATGCAGCACCACTCCCACAGTAGGCGTGTCTGATGCAGCACCACTCCCACAGTAGGCGTGTCTGATGCAGCGCCACTCCCACAGTAGGCGTGTCTGATGCAGCGCCCCAGCTGTGGCAGTTCAGCTGGTCAACTGGCAGGAGCTACCTAGTCAGGAATACCAGCAGCAAGGTGAGGGGCTGTGTACAGTTCTGCGTGCTGACGGTATTGTATACTGGAATACTCTTGAATTTGGGGATTTTGGACATTTCAGGACTGGCCAAAGAAAAAAACAAATACAAGTCTAAAAAAGGAACTAGAGCACTTCATTTGTGAATTAGCACTAGAAATTAAGAACTGTGTTCCTCCCAAGACAGGGTCTGGATCCTCTCGAATGAAGATTTAAAACAAAAAGGCTGGCCATTTACTATAAACATTTTCACAGATAAGATTCAAATGGGCATTTTATTGTAATCTTAGTTGTTTCCAGTATGGCAGGACCCCAAGCAAAAGCTAAATAGTATAGAAAAAAAAAAGTTGAGAAAATCACTAAATTCCAGCTACAATACAGGTGGTGCCTATGGGATGAAACAGCTCCCCCTGTTGGTTATTGTCTTGCAGTCACATACTGTCACCTTGCACATTCCTGCTTGCAGATAACACAGTTCATAAGTTGTCAAAAATGTATATAGATACAAGTTAATAAAAGCAAAATGTTTAAACATACTTAAAATCAAATCATAAAACCACTATTCACATTCTGAACCCATTACAAACAATTCATAGCATTCAAAAGGCGCCAACTGGGCTATCCCTTGCACTGTTGGACTGCACCTTAGCTTGTTCCACTACTGCTTAAACATGTCCTACCAAATCAACTAAAACGAACAACTGCCTCCGCCAGGAGTTCCGCTTATCTAACGCTCGGCTTAAACAAGAACACCGATAGGACTAATGTGTTTTGGCCACTGTAACTTGTCCGCCACAAGTAATCCAGACTAATGCACCTTCACTCACCCCCACAAGAGCACAATTTCACCATATTTCACATGCAGGAATAAAGATATAGATTTTAACGTAACAAGGATTGAACTATGAAACTTGTCAAGCTGCGAAAATAGAAATCATACACGATCCGAATAAATTGGTCACATTTTAAAACTGTTGTATTAAAAAAAAAGGCGGCTCAGCCTGCACCTTCGGTTTGTAAAGAGTTGTAAAGAGGGTCATTGTGACTGAAGGCTAAGGTCTGGGTCAGCGGAGGCTGAGTGGGGCACAGGAGGACATGGCAGAGACCTGGCACCAGAAACTGACCTGCTGCTTCTGAGGAACAGAGGAGCAGGACGGTGGCACTTCGCAAGAGTGGGGCTGCAGCCCCTGTCCAGACAAGTGGGTTTTATTTTTTACATTCTGGGCTCCCCAAGCATCCTGTCTTATAGTGCGCCGTGTCGTAATCGCGGTTGTAAACCAGCCCTTTAAAACGAGCTTCGGAGCCCAGTCATGGTGCCCGACAGCTTCGGTACAGTTGGGCACCGTCCATCCACCTGGGCAAACTTGTCTTCCTGAAGAAGTGGCGCCGCCGGGATCAGATGAAGTATTCCTTCTTGTCCTCTGGGCTCGCCTCGGCCGCCACCTGCTCCAGCTCCTCGCCCGGCGCCGGCTCGCCTGTCGTCCTGTAGGCCCCCTTGTTCTGGCACTGGTAGCGGAAGAGGAGGTAGGCCGCGCCCGCCAGCGTGAGCAGCACCAGCACGATCACCACTGGGGACACAAGACGGACAGCGCCGTCACCTCGGGCCCCGGCCGGCGGGCCGGATGAACCCCTGGGGCCTCTTCTCATCCCGAACCCATCTGATCGCCCGTGAACCGACCGCCGGCTAAAACCAGCAGCTCACCCGAGGGGACTCCCGTCATGCCTTCAGGCTGTCCGCTGATGAGTACAAATAGAAGCTGCCCTGGATAAGAGCTCATATTGTACACATGGCTCCAAGCAGCTTATGGCTTGCAAGTAAAAAAAACTAAGCTATCCAATAGGTCTAATTAAGCTAATGACTAGTGCAACTACGTGTTCAATGACCGAAACGAGGCCTTTATTGTAATGACAGAGATGGGCCTGGGATTTCCGCGACAGTGCTCAGGGTTTTCAGATAATGATTGTAACCCCAATACAACACAACCATTGACTGTGGTATTGCATCACCTCGCCTGAAACAAGATTCTCTGGTCAGTTCTGCATCCACTATAACGGTGGTTCCCAGTACTGGCCCTGGTGTCACCACACGCTTGCTGGTTCTCATTCCATCCCACCTGCATGAGCTAACTGAAGGCTTACCTGATCTGAGAAGTCGCTTCAATTGAATATTTGCCTTTAGTTTCTAGTCAAATGTTTGGGATTTTATTTCACTTACAAAGCACCACGGTTAAAGCTCCAACAGGTTCAACGTGGGAAGAAACGGTGCAAATTAATCTCATTATTAAGCAAATGAAGGGTTTTATTGTGTTGCCGAGGGCTAAGCAAGAACAAAAACCAGCAAAGTATGTAAGAGTCACCAGTGCAGGATTATGAACCACCGCACTAGTGTATAAATATTGGCGTTGAGATCTTGAATCTGCGTTCCCTACATCGTTCAGTGAACACCCCCTTTCAGACTTCTGACAGTATGAATTTGGTTAGTATCAAAACGACCTTCAATCTCGTCATTGCAGTCCAGCCCCGCTGGTGTACATGCCACCTGTTTGGAAGCTTTTGGTCACCGCTCTATGATAAAGTACGCGGTCGTTTCACCCAGCTACAACAAAATGCTCTTTACGTGAAAACACATAAGATCAAATCTGTCGGCTCTAGATCATTCTCTTGGTTCTGCGTGCGAGTGCGTCTCTACACTTTCCTGTCCTGCGGTCGACGGTCAATAACGCTGATAGCACAGAAGTGAAAGCGGGAAACTTGTTCCACAGCGAGGTCTGGCACTTTTTTCGGACATTACCTCCAATGACGGTGGAGTCCGTCTGGGCAGGCTGGGGAGTTGTGACCTCAGGAACTGAAAGAGAAAGAGACAGTCGATTTGTGCTTCTCCCCTCCTGCCAGCAACAGCAATCCTTTCCACATCTGAGGTGCCGTCGTCTCGGGGGGCACAGGGCCCACTGAGCAGGACAGTGCGGTCATGGTGACCCTTCCCAGACAGGGCCCGACGCTGCAGGCAGAGGCCTTTACGGGTTTACACGCACCAATCAATTCAAGATTCAGCTCTTTTCGCAGGAATCTGGAGAGCAGCGGTGAACAGTCTAGATATACGAACAGACCACCTTTCAACTTAGAGGCAACACAATTGTGCCCCTCACCTCCCCCACGTACCTGTCAAAGTGGTGGCTGTTTGGGTTGTCATGGTAACTGTAGCACCACGATCCCTCTTCTCTTGCTGTGGACTTCCTGGAGCTGGAAAACAGAGCAGCGTGGTTGGTCAGGAAGGGCCTAAGTGTTAAACTGGGGGGTGGGGGGGGACAGCAGTAATACTCCATAGGAGCTCTGCCATGCGGGAGAGGAATTGTCTTACCAATTCACCAGTTTTCCTTGTGCCACTTATAAGGTTTTAGCTAAAGAGCAAAAACAAAATGGAAAGACCCTCAGATCTCGCAAGGCCCGGGCAAATATCGCCAGTCCGGGGGACTCACGCGTTCCTGGCTCAATCCCTCATGACCTCCGGACGGCTCCAAGTGCACTAAGTGGGAAAGCAGTTCGATCTGCTGTGGCTTCCAGGTGTTACTTCAGCTGCTGGCTGACAGTTCCCTCTAACGCAGAGCCCCAGGGTGCGGGTATTTTCATTTCAGATGATAATGATAATGTTTCTTTATTAGCCCTATACAATTTCTTGCATTAGGAATTCCTCTTTTCGCATACCCCAGCTTTTCTCCATGAGACACAGACACACAGACAGGGAGAGAAGCTTGGGGTCAGAGCGCAGGGTCAGCCATTATACGGCGTCCCTGGAGCAGCTGGGGTTAAGGGCCTTGCTCAGGGGCCCAACGGAGTAGGATTCCTCTGCCGGCCACGGGATTTGAACCGGCAACCTTCCAGTCACAGGTGCAGATCCTTAGCCACAGAGCCACAGCTCCGCCCCATGGGCTCTCAACGACGTAACTGAACAAATCACCTGCTTCAACAGCCAGTTAAATACTTCCAGGTTTTTCACAATTGAGGTTTTGAAGGGGACCTACTGAATAAGACCTGCTGGGCTGTGGCTCTCCAGGACCTGGAGATCCAAGGCCCCTCTGGGCAATTCGGGACCACTCAGACGACATCTTGCGCTTCCAGCAACCTTATTTACTGCATCTGTTGCAGTAAATGCCCAGCCATCTACATTGGTGAAACAGGAAGGGGACTGGGAAACCGCTTCAGGGAACGTCAGGACTGTGAGGGTCAAAGATTTCTCCCGGCCCATTTCACTCCTAACAGCCACGACCCCACTGACCTCATCGTCTGTGTTCTCAAAGAGGGGTTTCGGGACTCCTATTGCAAAAAGACATCCGAAACTAAAATTATCCTGGAACGAGGACCACACCTCCCCCCCCTTCTCTTACAGACAGACTCATCTCCTTCTAATCCTCTCTATTCATTTGCAGGTGTTGACCAAACCCCTCTTCACTTCACACTGCCTGAATGTCGACTCCGCTTCTCTCCTGCTCCCGCCTCCTCCCCACTCCCGGCTTTTGTTCTCCTGAGCTTTACCAACCGCCGGTTTTCCTCGCTCTCACACCCGAAGAAGGCTCCACAGCCGAAACATTATGTTTTTCTTCTCTTTTCAGCACACGCTTACATTGTGATTAGGTTCCCGGGGCGGTCCAGTACTGCAGCGGGGTGTGGTGCTTTTCTCATGAGCGTTTTGCCTTTCCGACTCGCGGGACAAAAAACACTTCGGGCTTGAAAGGCCGCGGAATACAAACTGTACATCTGTTTGCAGGTGAACACGGTACAATACATACAAGACAAAAGGGAGAGGAAGGGGGAAAAAATAAGCAGTCGTAGCGACAGTCCGCTGTCGAAGTAAAAACAAAAACCCGAAGATACTCTCCTTGTGTAAACAAGTTGAGCAAGTATTCCGGTTTACAGTCCATCCCACACGTCTCAGTAATGTGAAGGTGAACCCCGGCGCTTAACACGCGTCGCCGTGAGCCTACCAACACTTCCCCACACATCGCCTTGCAAAGGGCTGCACTATCCTAGCAGCCGTAGCGACGTCTCAGCCACTGCTCGGCTCGGACAGTCCGTTCTTTGCGGTCGGGCTGGCTGTAGGGATCAGCGAGAGCCCAAAAGACAGGCAAGAAACTACAGGGCACAGGGCACACCCCGAGAAGAGAAGGTCATCTTTTCATTTCTAAAAAAAAAAAAAGTTCCGCACCTCCACGCTGGACGTCTGACAAATCCTGAAACTTCACCTAACTAGGGGACACTGCAGCACTTCTCCATACCGTGTTGTTCCGCCGCTCTAGTCATTTGTTTTCCCAGATAAGCAATTCAAGAAAACTTGATTACATAATAAACTTCTAAGTCAGGAGATCTGAAACTCGCCGATACTGGTTCTTTTCCATCATACCGCAGTGACAAGTTTTTTTAAAAAAAAAACCTACAGAGAAGACGCGTCTCAGAAAACTAGAATAAAACAAAAGGCCGTATCGTGGCTCCGAAGAGACAATCGGCTGTCAAAGGGAAACATCTGCTTGGTCGTGTCCAAACTGAACATCAGAGCCCCGCACAAGTCTGATCGTACTCAGGGGCCCCATTGTCTTCAAAGATTGCGCTTGTTTTGCAGTGCAGTAAAAAAGCTACACCTCGGTTTCATGCGCCTTCTTGGACTTGATTTGAGCCTTAATTTGGATGACTTTTTTTTAAAAAAACTGCCAAATTCGATGTTCCCCCATTCCCCCGGTCGGCCTTGACTACTTCAGATCTCGGAAACTATCGGCTCGTCCCGTTCGTTCACATTTCCAGAAGCATCTGTAGAGTTTTTTTTTAAAAAAACACACACATACCGGCGTACACAAGTTTCTCGCAACGCCAATTGAAACAGGCACTTATTGTGCGATTACACCGATTATTTCTGCTCCGCCATTACAGACCGTGAGATTCGGAGCAAGGAAATTCACGCCACGGAAAATGTGACTCGCGAACGCCAGCAGCCGCCAGGTTGTGAAGGAGAGACCCACGGGCGTTTTCTGTCAGCTCATACAACACGCGAGCAGACGTCGCCTCGCAAAGCAAGTCGGTGTTCAGCTCCAACGAGGGATTAAAACCACGCGAGGGTGAGGCAAACCGAGAGGAGGTCCCATACATTACAGCGTTTTAACTGTGGGACAAAAGCTTGTGGGGTGGGGGACGAAAAGTTACACTGAATGAGCTTTAAACTTACCACAGTCCCTACCAAATCAGACGCAAGTTTAAGATCGTGATCAACAACAAATACGGTTTTAGGACCCGTTGGCATCACTCATCAAACTATGGATCACAGTACATACCTTACCTGGGTCTTCAGAGCAGCACGCCCGACGGACACATCATTACGGCCACAACCGGGCACTTTGGGAACCTCAAACACTGGTGAGAAAGTTTTGTTACCAAGAAGAATCCGGTCACCGGAATCGCTCAAACATCGCGGGGAAAAAAGCAAAAACCCAACTAACTACATCCGCAGAAATAGAGCATCTGGACTCTAGATACCCACCAGCCCCTCCCGCAGAAGCATAACGTGTGTTTCCGAAGGAGGCGAGCAGGCGTCCGTGAAGAGCGTCTGCAAGCGGCGTCACATGACCGCTCCTCTCCTGCAGGGTCCTGTTCCAAGCGCGCTCCCGCGCCTTGCTCGTCCCCGCGGCAGCACACTTCCCTCAAGTAGGCGCTTACCACACAGTCACAACCGGAGGCCGCAGGGCTGCGCTCAAGCCGCCTGACCGGAGGGGCCGCTTCCTCTTATTCTCATTGTAAAACACCACGTGTGTGCGCCTGGCAACCCGCTGTCGTATTAAGACATTCCCCTGACCAGCCCAGCAGCTCCAGAATAGGCCACCCTGATGAGTTGTTGAAGACTTGTTGGAGCTCGTGTGTTTTGATCAGTTTCGCTAGGTTCATTGGTGAACTCGGTTCTTCAGAGATCCACCGAAAAATCAGATCGACAAAAATCCTATCCTTCCATCTGTTTTCTAACACCTTCTTCCAATTCAGGGTTGCAGGCGAGCAGGAGCCTATCCCAGCAAGCAACAGGTACAAGGCAGGGTACACCCTGGACGTCAGTGTCTCACAGGGAAGACACACACACACAAACCAGGGCCAGAACCCTGAGGGAACCCATGCAAACACAGGGAGAACATGCAAACTCCACACAGACAGCACCCCAGGTCTGAAGCTGAACCCAGGGCCCCAGCGCTGTGAGGCAGCTGTGCTCACTACTGCGCCACTGTGCCGCCCCATTGCAAAAAAATCAAACTGACAAAAAAACAAAGTGACTAAATCACTTGCTTAAGTTGCTTAGAGCAGGAATCTGCAGTATCGGTGCTGCATTTGGTGCTTTCCAGCAAAAAGCACCAAACAGGTCTGAAAAACACTTTGAAAAGATCTGCATGTGTAAATAAAAGGTGGCAACTTCAAGTGTAAGCTTTAAATTTTATTTTCTTTCATTAGGTGTCACATTTACACATTAAAAAGTTAATATATTGTAAAGTATTTATACAAAAAAAAACGTTGTTAAGGCAGGTTACATTCTGTATATTACAGGACGGTGTATCCTGTTTCAAAATGGCAGAATAAGCACTATTAAAAAAGTATTAGTATAAAAAATACAATGGTCACATTTGAATGTTATCACCACAGGAAATGTTTAAGTACCACGTTTAGCTGTTTTAGAATGCACTCTAATTTATACTAAACAATGAATCACAACCGAACCAGAATCAATCCTTAAGTCTCATGCTACAAACACTGTATTGATTTTTCAGTACACATGAATTGAAATGTTTTACATTCCTGTTTCAGCCCCAGCACAGAGCAGAGAGAATAATATACCCTGTGCCAGAGAAAGGGGCAAACCTCCTGTTGTTAGATAAGACTTTCTCAGGCAAACATGAGCTAGCAGGATATGCAGTACAGCAGCTGTGGGAGTATCTTGTGTATCTTGGCAGTGCTGGCAGTGCTAAACAGATAAGCCTTCGGCAACTTCTCTGGAGATGGTTTTAAAGAGTCACGATCCTCGAAAAAATTCTCCTGATCCTCACAAAAACTCATTACCCCCGTTATGGAAAGGTGAACAGAGACATATGCTTCGAGGTCCAACCTCAAAAAATGTTTCTTGCCCAAAAACCCAGTACCTTAAGTCATGCAACACTTAAGTGAACATTCACACAGCATTTTCTACCATCTGATTTGGAGAGGTAAAAGACGAATGAAACTATGTATTGTACAGTAGTTCTGCACCGACAAGGAGTCCTAGTGTCCGCCACTTGGCATGGTCCATACATTGTGACAGGCAGCTCTTTAAAACCTTATCCGTGACCTGAAAATGGTTTTGGTTTGAGAGGAGCCACGATCTTAAGATTCAACCCTAATTACTGCTTTCATCAGGATGTATGCTCCCATATTGGTTTTGTTAGTAGAATAAACATCCAGTTGCCATTATACTTATTTGGATAATCTCTTCATGTAAATCATATTAGGAAAGAGTTTAAGATTATCTGTTAACATATGAAAAGTTCTTATTGAATTAGAGAAGGCCTTTCAGTCCATATGGCCTGTGAGGCCGTGAGTAGCTAAATGTTGATGGAAAGCAAATTTAATGCAACAAGGATCTCACTGGTAAAAATTAGCAAGACTCTCGACTCGTTGCCTGTAATTTCATGCTGAAAAATTTGGGACTGGCTGTATAAACCAGTTTGTTTGAGCTGACAGCTTTTGCGAGTTCATCATTTGTGTCTGACCGAATACGACGGCCCTCCCCGAATGGACAGCCGTGTCCTATCTCAGGGTCACGGAGAAAAAGACAGTTCAGGATGACGGCTCAAACGTGGCCAACGCCGTCTGCGGGTGGTGTGAGAGTACGTGACCTCCTTGCGAGAACATGCAAACTCCACACACACACCAAGACCGGATTCGAGCAAGGAGCTGAGGCAGCAGTGCCCACTGCCACACCAACACACTGCCCAATCAAACACCTAATTATTCGATTTAACCTTGAAGATCCTGACTTTAATCCTTGCTCCGATATGCTACTGGACTGGGATTCTCCATACGGCAGTGCACAACTGGGAGAACCCAGGCAGGGTTAGCATTGAGCAAGATGTGGGGCCCGTCTCAGATGGTCAGGTGCACGGTTGATCTCATTGCCACGGGGCAAGGAGGCATCGTGGGAAGACTGGATCCCTCCAGGCCTGTATGGGAATCTTGAATGGGGGCATGGTGTCTCTCACTGTATGCCCCAAGGTGTACACATGGCCCAGGCAAGGGGTCCTGCCAGTGTTGTCCAGTATAGCCGCACTGCATGCCGGTTATGATTCACCAGCAACGCATTAGCTCAGCAGGAAATCCGAGAGGTATATCAGCGTGTGAGGGGCAGCAGTGTTAAATGTCTATAGCGCACCTGAGCTGGCTCAGGTCTGGAAATCACGCAGGACTGGGAGCCAGCAAAGCCAGCCATGCGAGAGGGCTGTGTTCAGACAGGCAGAGGGAGCCATATCGAGCTGTGAGGAAACAGCTGACAAGGCAAAAGCAAAATTGGGACCACCTGAACGCATGGCAGGATGAGAAACCTTTCCTTTTCAGTTTTCAGCTTCTGCTGCTATGACCTGTTGCTGCCTTGTAACAATTTCTTAATAAAAAGAGAGAAGGCAGTGCTACACTGTACAGGTATGCCTTTGCCAGTATTGATGTAGTGTGAATGACAGAAATATTTTGGATCGGGGGTTGTCAAATAAGCGGTCTTCTGTAGGATTCTGCAGCATCCAAATCTGTGACTGTTTAATTAAAAACTGATTCAATTCTGTAAAATTGAAGATGTGTTTGGCTAAGGTTATGTGTTAACACAAAGACCTGCATTAGAATAGACTGCTGTTTGATTAACCTGTCATAAGATGATTTGTGAGTTTATAAAAACATGGAATTAAGGTTTCTACCTGAGAATTATAATTCCTGCTGGAGAGCACTTTTGCTCAGAGGTTAGACAGCACAGAAAACAGCACTGCAATGTCAGATCTATTGAAGCACAACACAGGTATGTTTCTTCAAACGCAGCACTGAGATGTCTTAGTTGAGCTAGTACTAATAAATGTTGAGCTGATGGCACAACACAAAGCACAAAACAGATGAGGCACCAACAACCCAGGATCTGGTGGCTAGGCTTGGTGCTGCAGGCCGGACCTGAATGCAGAACGCACAATACCGTTACATCACTGGAGGTCATCCCGCTGACTTGCTGCTTCAAGCCAAATTAAAAAAAACAACTGGCAATCCAAATGTGCTTGGGAGACGTTCGTTTCAACTGGCTTTGCCCTGCGTGCCGTGTTCAAGGGGGACGATGACTATTCGGCCAGTCGGAGGAGAGCTCAGTCTTGCGGAGATGGGTCGGCTCGCTCAATCAGGGATTCTGGAAATGTTCCTTTGTGATCCGAGGGGTTCCTGTGCTGAAGCCAGTCTCTCTCCTTCACCCCTGTCGCCGTACCTTCAGGCTGAGAGAGTACAACACCGTCAGTGGCCGATGAACACTGATGCAACCCCGGTAACAGCTCTGGGCACACCTCAAAGCAGTTTCTACAAAACGGCTTCACAGCACAGACAAAGACAACAACCACACAGCGACAGAGAGCTGCATTTTAAAAGTAAGCTTCAAAGACACAGAAAGCACAGTGCCTGGCTTTACCTCAGAGACATAAGGATTAAAAGGTCCAGGGGAAAACTATTTACATTAAGGTTTTGGAACATTCTGTGAGAGACTCTGTGTAAGGTTTTAGAACATTAAGGTTTTGGACAATTCTGCCCTGTCTGGGAAGGACCATTTTCACTGAGGGCTCAACAGTTCCTTCCCCCCTACTAATTTGGATTTGCCCCCCCCACAGAGGGACAGATATAGATGGCACACATGCTTCTCCTGAAACATGCGGTCTCTGTCTGGTCTGACAGGCCCTGTAGCCCTTCACTCACACGAGCCTGCAGGTAGGAAACTGCCACCAGGGGTCACTGTTGAGCAGCGAGCAGAAAATACCAGGAGTGCTGTGTGCCAGGGGAATCCCAGTGGTAGTCAGCTGTGTACACAGCTCAGATCTGTGGCCTAATGCTCAGGACCTAGGAAACTAGGAGACTGCCTAGGGCCTCGAGGCCACCAGGGGGAGCCCTCAATGTGCGACACAACATTTTTTTTTAAACGGCTTGTACCTTCCAGTAACTCTTACTGTTGCTGCTGTGCTACTCTAGGCTGTTAAAGTTTGTTGTTTAGAAATTATAACATTATTATGCGCATATTGCCTACGTATGCTGATGCCACTACCTACTTGAACTATAATATTATTAGTTCAGGTGGGGAGCTGCGTCAGCATGCGTAGGCTGCAAAGGAACAAGTAATAGGTTTATTCCACACTGAAAATAAGAAGAGAGAAAAAACACAACGTTTCGGCCGTGGAGCCTTCTTCAGGTCATATTAATACTAAGAATATTATTAATTGTGAATGTAAATGGAGTGGTTTATTTTTTACTAGCGATGTAGTTGATGACTCATCTATGCTGTAAAATGACAATATCAGAAAGCAGGTAATGGTGAGATGATCAATTTTATTAATCATCTCATATGTAATGAAACATTTCAAGTGACCTTTTACTTGCGTTTGCCGACTATGTTTAAAGGGTTTATAATTAAAATCTTGTAATTGTAGCCTGTAAACGCACATCGTCCTCCAAAGGGACACAAAAGGCCGTACCTATCGGCCGCTGAGAAAAGGAAATGTGGAAAAGAAGAGCAGGATAAGTGATCTCAAAACAGAGGAACACCAAGTCACTGTACTCATGCATGTGTATTTGGTTTTGAGTCTGTCAGATCCATATAAGCAGCGAGCAGTAGGCAAGCCACATTTTCTGTGGTCTAATCTACACTAGATTAGACTACTTGAGGTGTTTTACTAAAAGTTAATGGATTCATATTTCACATTATTACTTTCAAAACATGTTAAAATACATTTTATCTTTGTAGAACGTGTACTTATGGTTCTGTTTGCAAGTTATTAAGTGTTCTTCAAAGCTGGTTGATAAAGGGTTCTAGTTATATAACTCATTTATTTATTTTCTCTGAATAGTCAAATAGGGTTGGGCTGGGAGCTGATAATACTCATGTATTTGCAAACTGTGAACTGGAGGGGCCCCTTTCTCGCCTAGGGCCCCCAAAGACCTAGGGCCGGCCCTGCTTAGGTTATTAATTGAATAACACGAGCTCTAGTTCTGAGGGCTACAGTTCTCTGTAATGAGAATAGTGGTGCGTGGGAGACAGATGTGGGAGCAATTGATTGGACGTATTAAACCTCACTCACCCTCTGCTCTGCGTCAGCGATGACGAGAATGATCTCTCCCTCCTGAAAAAGCAGTTGCCCAGCCTCCTCTGTCAGGTGGTCCTTCAGGGCCACGGCCTGCAAGGCAGAAGTGGACAGGTTGCTTTAGCAAGAGCTGCTGCCCCACCCTGCCCCGTCCTGCCCTGTCCTGCCCTGTCTTGTCCTGTCTTGTCCTGTCTTGTCCTGTCTTGTCCTGTCTTGTCCTGTCCAGGCCTGCCGCCCTGTCCTGCCCCACTCTGCCCCGCCCTGTGTGTCCGCTGCCACCCTCCAGCCCCTTGTGGAGTGGGGCTCTGGGCTTCACAGTGGAAAGCACTACTGTCATGGACTTCAGCTTCATTAGAGTGAAATCCACTGCATCGGTCTCTAGCCATGAGAAGAGCGTGAGAACGCCCCTGGTGTACTGATGATGAGGCTCAGAGCAGTACAGGGAGGCAGCTAGCCTCACAGCCTGAGCCCCAGGTTTGATTCTGAACTTGTGGAGTTTCTCCCACCTACTTAGGACACGCCAGCCAGGTGATCTGGTGCCTCTGTGTTGTCCCTGCATGTGTGTGCCCTGCGGTGTGGCGGTGTCCTGTCCGGGGCGAAAGCGTGCGCCCTGTGGTCCCTTGATTACTGCAGCCCCTGTGATAGTGGAGGGAGCGCTGAGCTGCTGCAAGGTGTGCTACAGGCAGCAGGTCACATCCAGGGCCTGTTCCCGTATCCCAGGGACTCGCCTACCTTGTACAGAAATCCCGGAGGAAGATCTCCCGCTCCTTCACCGGCCTCGTGGGGGCTGTCGTTCTCAGGATCAGGAGAGGCAGGGCTTTCCAATTCCTCGGCCTGCATCCGTTCGGGATCCGGAGCATCAGGAGACCCCTCGAGAGACCCCTCGGGAGACCCCTCCGGAGACCCCTCCGGAGACCCCTCCGGAGACCCCTCCGGAGTGTGCTCCGGTGAGGCAGTGGGAGCGGACTCCTGGGCATCGGGAGTTGAGTCAGCCTCCTCCCCCTCCTCCTGCTCAGTCCTGGACAAGGAGGGGGAGGAATCGGAGGCTGTGGCAGGATCGATGGCGGGCTGGTCACTTCCAACAGGAGCTGTGTCTCCAGAGGCGCTGCCTGTCGGCTCGTCTTGAGAAGAAGCCGTCTCCTTAGGCGCATCTTCAGCAGGCGCAGACTTGTCCGCCTGGTGTCCACCGGACTCCTCTGCGGCCTCAGCCGGACCGCCCACCTGATGCTCGCCAGACTCCTCTTCTGCAGAGTCCTCACCTGCTTCAGCTCTGCTGCCGAGATCTGCCTCAGATTCCCTGCCCTCTGGGGGCGTGTCATCAGGGGGAGGGGCCTTAGAGGCCGGCGCGCTCCCATTGGCCTGCTCCTCGCCCGGCACTGACATTTCATTGGCTCCTGCCGTCTCCGCCTCCGTGCCGGCCGAGTCGGTCTCCTTGCCGTTCTGGGCGGGGTGGGGGGTGGCGTTCTCATTCAGACTGCTCTCAGCCGGCGGGAAGGCGGTGTTGCAGGGAATCGGGGCGGAGATCATCAGAGAGCGTCTCTTGCTGACGAAGGAGAAAAGGAAAGATTATTTCTTTATGGTCTGCCCTCCGCTGGTCTGTTGCACTTTCAACCGCTGGTTGAGCAGATCCCCAGGAAATCGTCAGTTTATCAAGAACGACCTCATCTTTTACACGTAAGCAGTTCTTTCTCTACCATAATACCTACAGCTTTCAAGGACTAGAACTACCGCACCCTGTCTGATCTGAACCAATCAGTTTCTGTACACATGAAATCATAAATGATATTGGTTCCGAACCTCTTTAGCTGCTTTATTAATTATATTGTGTACACATTTGTGCCAGGTCATTAAAAATGGATGATGTAAGTGTTATAGATTACCCCTACTAGATTGTAGCTTTCTAAGAATTGGGTTGAGCACCCTACAGCTAATCTACACTCAAATCTGCAATGCATATGTGGCTGTTCTGCTATATCTTTATACAGTATAGCCGCCATGTCAAAGTTGTACCTCACACTAACACATACACAAACCCCTCGATTTGTAGACTTGGTGCTTTGACCAGAATGAAATCGTGTGCTTTACCTGGTCACGCCTTTGATAATGAAGACCTTATCAGAGTGCTGGTTCTCCAGTTTCGTCATCACGTTGTACAGCTCATGGTTCAGCTGCAACCGAAGCAGACACACAGGTCAGGGCACACAGCTGGGCAGAGCAAACATAGGGCCCTGCCCTTTAGCAATGAGAAAGGTAACCTTGGCCAATTCAATCATGCATGGCCGGATGCAGATGCTCAGGTAATGCTAATATTTTTATTATTTTTGCATTTATCTTCATTGTTTGTACTAAATGTGGGAAAAGGAGGTCATTATTTTATACCTGCAGCTGCACATTTTATGTTCTGGGAATCTCTAAATGCAAGGCTGCTGGAGACGAATGAAATCAGTCTTTTGTTCATGTAAACCAGTAGCGAAGTTTTATGCAGAATCGCGAATGAACCAGTTACAGTCTGTCTTACCTTGCTCATCTCTTTGTAGAAAACATCTCTCAGATTGGAAATGTTCTGGAACACCGTCACATAGCATCCAATTCGGCTGTGGAGAGAGGACGATACAGATTGTGACGATGCAAAAAGAGACCAGAGTTTCCACTTAGTTTATTCTGTGCCTCGGATTAACTCAACATAGAGTTCACAATGAAGGTTTGGGAGTGAGGACAGCAACCAAGTTCCATTTCATCTCAGCTGCCCTGACTTTGAATCACTTCTGATGTCATTTTCCGAAAGGTATAAAAACCCCTAAGAGCCCCTCACTCTTCCCCCTGTCGTCTCTCTGCCTCCCCTTTCCGGCCCATCTCCACCTGTGCAGCTCCCTCTTACTGATCTCTTTCCTTCGCAGGAAAGTCCTGACTTCCTCTTCCTGAACCACTCTTCCCATCATGCCTCGACACTCGACAGCCCCTCCCAAATGCCTCAGACTCGCGGGCATCGCTGTGCCTGGGGAAGTGGGGCAGTGCCAGACCTCCCACCTGTGATAGACCGCGGGCAGCTCCTCCCTCAGCTCGTTGTTAATCTCTTCGAAAACGCTCTGCGCTTTGTTGAACTCCTCCTCTGCCTGGAAACACAGAAATGGCAGAGAAAACAGAACGGGTTTGTGACGATGAAAAAGAAGCACATCGCAGCAGGTGAAGCTTTTCATCCACGGTCTCCTTCTTCCACACTGGAGATCAGCATGCAGGTGGGCTAGGCCCTCCTGTCCCCCACAGTACCCCACTGAAGAGTGCTGCGCTCTTCAGGAAAGGGAAAGAACCAGCCAGGTAACTGTGAGTGTGTCTGTGTCTGTGCGTCTGTGTCTGTTTCTGTGGGTCTCTGTCTGTTTCTGTGGGTCTCTGTGCCTGTTTCTGGGTGTCTCTGTGCCTGTTTCTGGGTGTCTCTGTGCCTGTTTCTGTGCGTCTCTGTGCCTGTTTCTGTGCGTCTCTGTGCCTGTTTCTGTGCGTCTCTCTGTCTGTTTCTGTGCCTGTTTCCGTGTGTATCTCTATGTGCGTGTCTCAGTGTGCATGTCTCTGTGCATCTGTTTCTATGCGTCTGTGCGTGTCTTGCTGTGTGCTTCAAGTGTTAGGGGTCTTCAGAAGGTATGAGAAACACCCCCAGTCTAACGCCACAGAGACCTCCAGGCACATCTCTCGTGATACTGGCACCAGTGCCTCCTGCAGGACAGTGGGCTGCGGACCTGCCTCTCTTCCTCTGACTCAAACTCAGCCTCTCATGCCCCCGGTGCCGAAAGCGACAGAGTGACGATACAGAGGCACTGTGCGCAAGCAGGAGGAGTTTAAAGCCCTCCGCCCTGGAGAGCAGCGAGGAGACAGCACTGAGGCCTCTGGGGCTGGCACCCCCTCTCCCCTGTCGGCGAGAGTCCTGGGGTGGCAGAGACGGTGAGAGCTCGCGCTCCCAGTCGTCACTCGCGCTGCCCCCCCCAGCTCTTCCCTCCTTCTCCTCTCTCGCCTCACCTTGGCCATCTTGGCTTCGTCTTTCTTCTTGGTGTTCTGCAGCGCCTCCAGGTGGTGCCGGGCGCTGTCGTAGTCCACCAGCTTCCTGCCGCGCTTGGCCACTCGTTCCTGGGAAGGTGTGTGACAGGGAAGGTTGGGGTGAATTTGGCGTCCAGCAGAGGGGGAGCCGAAGTGAAAGAGCAGAGAAGGAACTAAAAAATGGCAAATAAATGACAGACAGCTGCACCTCCAGCCAGAGCAGTAGCCCGAGGAATCAGAGCGATAAGAGAAACGGCACAATCTGAGGAACATCCCCAGTCAGATCGCGCTGAAAATGTGGTTGTAAAATTGAGGGGAAAAAAAAACAGATAAGCAAATAGAAAAACTGCAGTCATCCTGTTTCAAAGAGCACCAACCTAACAGACAGCGCGCTAAAGCGCATGTGGCTTGGTCACCTATCAGTTCATTTTAAATCGCAAATTACCCGCCTCATCCAGACAGCTTTGAAGGTCATGGGGGTGAAACAGCACCCCTCCCTGCAGACAACCTTTGAAAAATCCATAATCAAACAGGCGGGAAAAATGGTATCAGATTCTTCCCACATCCTCAACTCTGAATGTCAAC